GTTAAAATCTTAATTTTTTTGAAAATTAAAATTAATACGCACTAATTTTTAAATTAAATATTATTGGTATAATTTTTTAGAAAGCTTTATTTGAGTATAAGTATTGAAGAAAAATTTTTTTATTAAATGTTTTATTTGAATATTAAATATTTAAAATACAAATTTATATAAAATAATATTCAAGTGTAATTACATGATACCAAGTTAAAATTTTGTATTATTCTCTATTATAGATTTTCTAAGTTCCACATATTCAAAGCTTTCTAAAATTGTCAATTTCGCGTTATTTGAAAAATATGTGATGTGTCTAGTTCTTTGTTAGCGTGTTTTTTAATTTATTAAAATGTCAACTTCTTCATTTATTTATAATTAGGTACTCTTAAATCAATTGTCATATATTTAAAATTAATCATCTCCTGAACGATCTTAAAGATAGACTCTCATATTGATTTAATATATTAAAAAATTAAAATTTTTAAATATTAATATTAATACTTTAATGTTAAATCTAACTTACAAGATGATAATTACTTAATAATATATCTAAACTTTAGGGTTGTTAATTTCTTGTTAGCTAAAATTATAAATAATTTAAAGATAATATCTTCTTAGTAAAATTAAATTGTTATGAATTTGAGCAGGCGCATTCCATACATGTAAAATGAGTTAGGTTAAAACTCATTTTTGATCACTTTACTTTAACAAAAAAATTTCTTTTAGTCCCTTTACTTTTAAAAGTCTCATTTTAGTCCCTAATATTTAAATTCCTACATCTTTTTACTCTTTTTGTTTTCTTTTTATATAAATATCACCTTAGATAACAAAAATTCTAAAACATAGAGACTGAAGAAGGTTTTCTTTTTCAAGTAGGAGAACCAAAAGGGTTTTTTTTTTAAGTAGAGGATAAAAAATGAGCTTTTTTAATTCTCTTTTAGTCCCTCTACTTTAGCATTTTCCTTATTTAATGTGCCATATGTTCGAAAAGTAATGGATGGATTAAAATGGGTTGGATTTTAAACTTTAAAAATTAAAAAAATGATTTTTGTAAGTAGAAGAACAAATAAAAAATTTTAACCAATGAGTTATAAGATGGTTTCTATTGTACAAATAATAATAATAATAAGTTATTGTTACTGATGCAACAGATTAAATGGCCCTTCTCCTTTTTTTTTTTGGGGGCGAAAAAGCCACATCTCCTTGGTAATTCTCTCTCTTTATAAATAACGTTTACAAGTCAATGAACTCATCTAGACCACATCTAGAGTAGTGGGACGCTCAACAAATCACTACGCTGATTGGCTGAGAGGTAGAAGATGGCAACTCACGGCAACGGAAGTTCAGATTTTTTCGCCAAGATGCCTGAGATCAAGTTCACGAAGCTCTTTATTAACGGCCAATTTGTTGATTCTGTCTCAGGTTACATCTCTTTTTGTTTTATCCTCATATATTCATTTCTCTCTGTCTTTTCGTCGAACACAGTGAGAGGATCTCTTTGCATCACCGATTCTTTGTATGTTGTTTTCTTCCTTTTTGTTTTGTGGCCATTGTATATTGTTTTCTTCTCAGGGAAAACGTTTGAGACTATCGATCCGAGGAACGGGGAGGTGATAGCAAGAGTTGCAGAAGGAGATAAAGAGGATGTAGACCTGGCCGTGAAGGCCGCCCGTCATGCTTTCGATCATGGTCCTTGGCCTCGCTTATCCGGCTCTGTACGTATCCTGTAAAATACTCTCTAACTGGAGAAGAGCTCCCTTTCGCATAGCTGCAATTTTTGGTTTTCATAAATTTCGTGATTATTCAAATTTAAAAGCAAAAATTAAATAGTAAATGAGGAATAATTAAATTTTCTCCTTTTTTTTCGGTATATAGAATAATTAAATTTTCTTATTTGAATGAAAATTCTTAATAAGTAAGAAAAAAAATTTTAATTGTTATTTATTTAAT